TTTGTTCCCACAGGATACTGGAGCCACCTGAGCACTCCAAACAGGATGAACTACGTACGTGAACATTGTCATCACTACTACTCGTATAAGATATCCTTGCTGCATTGTAATCTGCACTAATTCTCCCCTTTAAAACCCCGATATCCCTATTGTTACTATTACTACCGCGGTTGACGAGTAATCCATATCGAGTATTAGCCATATCGGCTTGTTCCTTTACAAAGGCAGTAAGGTCTGCGAACAGAGGCTCACGACCTCCTCTGATAATCTTATAAGCTGTTTTTAGCCACTTTTGTTGAACATGCGTTGGTAATTTCAGAACCATAGTTTCAATAGTTCTGGTAGAGTTCAGGTCAAAAACGTAGTTTATTTGTTCGAGAGTCAAGCATCATGCTTGCATTTCTCGGGACAATTTTCTTAAACCATGTGGTTGGTTCCTTCTTATATTGGGAAAATTTAACAAGTTGTCGATGAGCGTGCGTACTGTCACGTGTTTTTGACCAAATGTTTCTTCTAAAAGCTTTAGGGTTTTGATGATAGCCCATCTCTGGTTCTAGTATAGCACAATGAAGAATGATGTTTTTCCCTTCGCCGTCACAATATCGAATCAAGTAATTTAGTTCAGCTCTAAATCCAATATTCTCACTTCCGATGCATTCCTCGAAATTTATAATAAAATTCCAGTAATTTATCAGTGTACCATCGAACCTTAAGATTTCCCTTTTTGGTAAATACAAACTTTTTAATATTACATCCTCGCTGTTGCTTACTGATCGATCAAAACCCTCACTTCCCATGCGGCGTAAATTTTCTAGTTCAATTTCTTTTTTAACTGAGTTATATGCAATTTAGCTAACTCTCATTCTATCATGCTATTAGTTTTGGGTTTGTCCTTTTCAAGTTGGTCCCCATCATAAACTCCCAGATGATGGGGTGATAACTTTGGAATCTCATCGGAATCGTAGTATTTATTAGAAGTCATTTCAGTAAGTATATCGAAGTTTACTGTTCGAAAATTTGTAGGAAGCGATTTTCTACAGGTGCAACTCCAAGCAATTCTCTAGACTGTCAAATACAGAGTCTTGGTTTCTCCAAAGTCAGAACAAGTAAGCTATTTGGCTTAATAAACTTTATCTGTTTCGAACAGTAACTGAAGAATAGGAAAAATGAGTCAACAAGGCGAATATTGTTTTAGAGGGAACATTAATTTGTGATTGGTGGATAAACAAGACGTAATCATACAAGGTCAAAGAAAATTAGTGTTATGGTGGGCATTTCACCTTATCATTGGTGTGTTCGTTTATCGATCTAATTTTACAGAATGTGAGTGAATAATGCAAATAATAGTTATGTTGTTGGTTTGGGTGAGTTGAGTTTGTGGAATTGAACGGATTGTTTGTGTTGAATTTGTGCATTGGTGTGACTAGATGATACGTTTGATCAGATGTGAGTGTGTGAATGAGTTATTTGTTTTATGTTTGTGCGTTGTATGTTGGATCGATGTTGATGTACTTGAGCGTATTGTTGGTTGGTGGTGCGGATGTTTTTGATATTGTTTGTACTGTATATGTGACTTTTTTGTGTAATTTTCGTTGTAAATTTGATTTTTATATTGAATTTTTTACCGCTATTTTTCGGTTTAGAATTGGTCATGCGGAACTTATTCAGTCATGTGTATTTCTTCATTTTTTTGCAGTATATGATATTCGATAGTTTACATTCACTTCGTTTTTTTAATTTTTTGATAGGATATTCCAGTTATTTCTATGTACAAGTCTTTTAGGAATCCGCAAGTAAAATTATCGTTTCATTTAAAAATTTTCTTTGTTTTATAGAAATTTTCGAACGTACATATTAATATAACTATAATCTTGGAAGTGTCATTTCAACTGAGAGAATTTCTACCTTCAATATTCAACACTATTGTCGACACGTTTTTTTTTATTAGGCACATGTTCATGGTAGATGATAGTATAGAGACTTCTTCATTCACTGGCTATATATTTTAATACGGTTGTATGTAAAGTGAAAAATATTTGAAATAGTTTATGAGAAGGGGTTTTGTGGAGATTTTAGTAATTTTTTTATAGAGTTGAGATCGTGAGTCAATTGAAGCTAGACCACCATGGAAAACCTGGAAGCATTGGACGGCCGTTTCGCCCTATTATGGGACTCCTCAGCAGTGCGCATCCACGATCCCGCACTGGCGAGATTCGAACCCAGGACCTACCAGATTCGAGCCAGAGCCCTTAACCGATAGACCACTTAGCCGGCATCCAACGGTGTTAATGTTTAACTTCAACTGATCCACGAAATTGAGCAACCATTCACCAATGTCATCAGTGAGTTACTATCTCACAACAGACCTGGTTGAACTCCACCGGTTACTGCTTCTCACTAGAACTCCAGGAAATACCTCATGGAGTCAGTCACTAGTGAACACATGATCATTATCAGAAGGGGTTTTGTGGAGATTTTAGTAAATTTTTTTATAGAGTTGAGATCGTGAGTCAATTGAAGCTAGACCACCATGGAAAACCTGGAAGCACTGGACGGCTGTTTCGTCCTATTATGGGATTCCTCAGCAGTGCGCATCCACGATCCCGCACTGGCAAGATTCGAACACAGGACCTACCATTTTCGAGCCTGAGCTCAATCTTCCCTTATAAATAACGTTGAAACTTGTGTTTACACATCAACTTCTTATCCATTATTTGCAAGGATGAATTTAGAATTACTGTTTTCATGGTCTTAACAAATCGTATTATTATAATATCATCTCTTAGTTATTTCTTATTAATTTCGTAGATCATACTTTATATGGAGAGTAATAGCCTAATCAGCTGAAATACGAATGACATATGATATTGATTTTCTTCAATTGTGTTACATGTATTTGTCACATTTTAAGAACAATTACTGATCCTCAATTGTATCATATTTTAAATATGTGTTCGTGCAGTAACTTATTGATTTACCATTGTTAAATACAATTCGGTTCAATTTATACAAATTTGATTGATGATCTAACTGTAAATAAATCATGTAAAATGTGATGTATCACTAAATCATTTCAATCTCCCTTGGGAGACAAATCTTTATCAACAGTTTTTGCGTCTTTTCTCTTGTGTTCAAATTTCTGCGTAGATTCAGCCTGGGGTTATTAAGAGCAGCTAGAAAATCGAATCGAGCGTTCAGATAGTAGGACTTATCATTATCCCACAATGAAATACTTCTGTAGAACACTGAAGTTAGAACTGTTTTTTGAAGTACAAAAGACCTGATTAAAGTCACTATTGTATCTTTGTAGACAGAGACATCAACACACCTTGGCACGGATGTGCGTCGACTCAGTTTGTCATACCTGACTGTAGTATATATTTCATTTAACGTACAATGAGATCTGTCAACATGGTAACATATTTGCTTCTGCAATTAGTCGCTTGTTTGCTGGTTTTTATTTGCGAACTTATTGCTTCGAAAGCAGCAAATAATTTTCTAGAGTTAGGTCACTTGGAATCAATCCTTCGAAAGCTATGGAATTACGCTTCTTGCTGATTGGGACTCCTCAGGAAGGCGCACCAACGGTTATAAGGGAACTTATCTTTCACGTGAGATTCGAAATCGCATCATCCAGTTTAGATATCGGAGACATTGGCAGGGTGCTCTTCTTGATGTAACTGACCCATAAATAAGTTGTCACTGAGTAATAACCAGTATCACATTGATGTTGGGGCTTTTTACTATGCTAATTAATAATTAGTCCTGTTCGCTGTATTGTTGTGAATTTCGGCTATGCAAATATTTCTGAGCCCTCTGACGCAGCTGTTGTATGCGCTAATTGTCGATTATTCATACTATAATCATCCGTTTCTGGATCACTCATAAGAACACCAGAAAAGCCAACTAAGTACTTTACAGTTTATCTGTTATTTATACTTGTAAACCTCATGATTATATGCATGAAGTCTAACTCAAATTATGAATTGCCATAAGACACAATGCAACGATGACCAACAGATTGGTAATTAATTAACCACAAGTTATCAACGACATCATATATTGTAGAAATTAACGGTTCCAATGAAAGCTTACAGTTAGGTTAATATAAGATACTATGAATTTGAGGTTTAGCGAATACATGTAGATGATATATTAGGTAATTCCCAGGAAAATAACTCCCAGAGTTACACATTTTTTTCCTCTGCCACTCTTAACAGTTAAGACTTTAATGATACTAAAATTCTATCGATCAATTTATTTGACCATTGGTTCGAATGAATCGACATCTCATGTACGTTTTAATTTAAAGCTGCCGAAGATCAAGGGAAAGGGGACAAGAACAAAGAATAATTAGTTTGGAAACGAAGGAAAAATCAAGTCTGTGACAATTGATTGACATTTTGCGAATGAAGTATTTACTGTGTTCCTCAGATCTTACTAAGATATTCTGTAATGTATTCAGACACGTTTAGGTGTTTTCACTGGTGTTCTCGTCCACTGCATTATGCATATATTTCATCCTAGTAAGTCATGATAATTAAGTACCTAACTCAGAAACAACAAAAACTTCATTTCTGATCATTTTCGTCTTCCAACTACACTCCAGAATTATCAGAACTCCTTTAATAAACGCATTTGTGTGAGGGCTGTGATACTGCCCGGGTTCCCAAACCGAAGCAGGTGGTTTTCTTACAGCGCCACAACCGGAGCCTTTGACCTAAAGAACTAATTCACAAGTCAGTGGAGCATCTTAAGGAGATGCAGTCCCATGGTAGCCGGTGATCAACGGTTGATTCATACGCCATTTGTTCCTCCAGGATACTGGAGCCCATGTACACCATTGGTTTGGAATCAGGGTTTTCCGACTCCCCTAGGTGGACTTTCCGTGTCCACCAACCCGGTTAAAGCACCGGACATTCGTTTTTAGTCCTCTCCATTTCGTAAGCAACAGTAATATCACGAGAAGTCAGTGAGTAAGACTTCCGTGGCAGATGCTATATACGCGTGGCCATGTGAGAGCATTTCGAGTGGGAGAGCGGACTCTCCCCACTCTCAGCCGTACCAGGGCACTTCGGGGAGTGTCAGGTAACGAGAACCAATCGGCGTTGAATTTTCACACTTTATAACTGCTAACAGGTACTATATTTCCAGTGCGGCTACACGGAATTCTGCAATGTCAATATTTATTTAATCACACGATCGTCTTTCGATTGAAGTCTTCAAACAAGGTTAACAGTATAAGATGGTTGAGGAGATTGTTAACTTTTCATTACGGAATGGTTGTATTTAGATATCAGCTACTTCATCCTGGTGTAAGACTCCTTGAGAGTGGGTATCCACGTCCGAATCGAGGATCAATCCCCGACCTTTATGTCTCGATACTTGGTAACATCTCTACTTCACTTTCATAGATCCACCAGCTTTTCCAGTTATTAGTGTACAAGTTTCAATTCATTGGGGTGACCGAAAAGCTGCAAGTTATTTAGCCACAAGACTTTGGTCGGACATCAACCTGCAACACTTGGAAATCGTAACGTTTATTTCTCCACAAACACCCGTGTATGACTGTACGAGATATCAAAGCCTACCTTTCCTCAACCAGATTGTCACCGTGCATAACTTCTATCACCGCTCATTTCGAAGATGTGCGATCAGGAGAAATGACGACCGCGCGAAGTACTTACTATCCTTCAGGCCCTAATTCCCGCACCTAATATCCGTCATACTTACACCAAATTGATGACACGGGTTACTAGCGAATTAATCGATGGGGATTCACATGAAAGATCGTAAACCGCCAATCACTATCAGATGACTAGTCTTGTTCATTTGACCAACCGAAGGTAAGAATTAGACGGCGACGAGTACTTGAATGTTGACAACAGGGCACAACCCTACCGCCTACCCCGATTTAAGGAGCCATTTTGTATTTTGTCACCTTTAAGTAATGGTTCAGAGGAATACATACTTAGCAAACGAATGATTTATCAAGAGCTGTCACTCGACTAGCTTATACGGTTAATAGCTGATTAGATTTGAGTCGGCCAAAACCTCAGTTTCTTATATTTTTCGGAACACGAAATAGAAAGCACACTTCCTATCTAGAAATCTGACAACGCAACCACAATAAATCGCGACTTTCAATATGACTGTTTGTGGGTATACAAGTCAACAGCTATTACGTACCGGTGAAATAACAATTATGGAGGAGACGCTTTGGAGAAGGATCACGTTCAATTAGACCTACGCAAAGTACCTGATTTACCAAACCGACATGAAATAACACTAATCAGCGATTAAGCTACGAACTGACAACCGTTGTTCAAACCACATAAGATTCTAGTAACAATAAATCATCACTCAGACCATTCGAAAATCATACTGTAAATCAAACCGTCAAAATATATCTTGTTTCCTAACTCTTATAAACATTTGGGTTGCAGTACGCTGTGAAGTAGCATCATACCATCTACATATCTTCAACAAAATATAACCATCATCTGGACAGTGGAACAGAATAGCCTAAAGTTGGTAACTATCAGAGATTAGGACAAATAACATGTCGTCTTTGAGTGTTTTGGGAAGCACAATAATGTACCATGAATCCCAAGAAGCGACAATGACTAGAACTTAAAATCAACAAAATACTTTAAGGACAAACATTAAACTGTTGATAGAGAAACCCGCAAGCCAAGAAATCAATTTATTGAGTAATTAAGACATTGTACAAGATCGGGTTTTATAGTTTATCCAGGAAGTTATCTAAGGAAGGAACGCCTGCTTTGAGAGCCTTACGTTTTCGCGCCTCTGCAACTGCTTGTCCAGGTTTTGAGTTTTCGTCGAGAGGATCACCAGGATAAATTTGCCAGTGGTCAAAGACACACTGAGGGAAAGCTTGCCCACCAGTTGCAGCGCGGAGGTCAGTCGTGAAGCCTAAAACAATATTAAGTTACCAAAAATGAGTTACCGAAAGATTCATTAACCGGCATGTAAGCTTTGGTAATACACATTGGACTGTCACTTTTTCGTTCTTCTGAAAGTGTGATGGCCCTTTTGCGATTCAATGTACTGTAGATACCTCCCATAGCAGTGGCTGGACCTTGAATTTCTACCAGATAAACGGGTTCTAGTAAGCATGGTTTAGCAGTCAGAACGGAAGCATAGAAGCATCGACGCGCTGTACCTATGATTTGATTACCTCCACGGTGAATAGCGTCTGCGTGAAGTACTACATCTATGAGATTGAAACGGACTCCACGCATGTGTTCTTGACAAAGAACACCTTCTTTAGTTGCCCACTGGAATGCAGCGACAACGCTATCTTTTATTTCATTTAAATATTGAACTGCCTTGGTGGTATCGACCACAACATTAGGTCCTGCGTTCTCTGGACCGAAGCACCATAACTTCCTAGCTTCTGTAGCATCCCATCCGTAGTTGTCTATTAGATAACGAGAACGATCTTTCACGTCTTGATTAGCACTGACTTTTCCGTCATCAATGTCCTTTGCTAACTCTTCTGATAAAGGTAAGGCACGCATGTACAGACGATTATGTTTGTTGGGGGATTTTGACAGACATGTTTGGTTTGACTCTTCTGTTACTGTCTCGCGATATGAAACGACGGGATTACTTATTTTTAAAGGAATGCAAGCATGATCTTCCCTGAGATCCTTGAGGCAAATTTCAAGATGTAGCTCGCCGGCACCTGCGACGATGTGTTCGCCCGACTCCTCCATCTTTATCTAGAAACATATGTGATAAATATTTCAATAACCTACTTGGACCATAGGATCACTTTTGGCAAGACGGTTCAAGCCTTCAAGAAGCTTTGGCAAATCAGCAGGATTTACACAGTCAACTGCAACGCGGACTACAGGACTGACACTAAATTTCATTTGCTTCAAGTTATGAGCCCCCGCAAATGTTGTAATGGTGCCAGTTTTAACAATAAACTGATCCACTCCCACTAGCCCACAGATGTTTCCACATGGAACTTCCTCAATCGCTTCTGTAGAACGTCCCATCATAAGTACAGTTCGTTGAATAGTCTTTTCATAAAGATCTTCTTTTTTCCCTGGAACGTAGTTGGGGCCAGTTATTCTTACCTTTTGTCCTGTTCCAATTGTACCAGAGAACACACGGCCAAACGCATAAAACCTACCTTTATCTGAAGTCGGCACCATTTTACTAATGTACATCATGACTGGACCATTCTGATCACAGTTTTTCATTGCAATAGCTGCTTCATCTTCCATGGGTCCTTCGTAAAGCATTTCTACTCTGTACTGCTGTGAAGTGACAGGACTAGGGAGATGAATGCATATCATTTGCAGAAGTGAGTCGCCAGCAGGAAGCCACTTATGTAATGCTGTTTTCAGTCTTTGTTTGTCAGGAAGAGATAACTCAGCTTCATTTAGCGTTACACCCATCTTCGTTAGTAATTCGATCTGTTCATCCTTACTTTTCCTCATGATAGTATCGAAAACCTTGTAGATTGGCGACAATATAAACTGGTTAAAGCCACGAACGCCATCAGAAGCTGGTTTTTCTTTAGTCCATTTTTTTGTCTTAGCGTTGTAGAAGTTGTCACCCCAAAAACGTTTAACCAATACACTTGGTTCAATTCCGAATTTGCTTGAGTAAAGTCTAGCAAATGTCATCAATGTGAAGGCCCAACTTTGCAAACCGGAACCGAAACCTACAGTTCCTTTTGCAACATTTAACGTAAGATCACCCATTGAGTTATTAGCTACTTCAAACTCCGAAATTATGACGTTGACGTTTTCAATCACCCTCTGGAACTTTTGATAAAGTTCTTCCATGTCACAATTCAGAGTTGTGACTGCCATGTCCATCTTATTCATAAATAATACTGGTTTGATGCGTTCTGTGAGAGCCTGACGCAAAACCGTTTCGGTTTGTACACAGACACCTAAAAAATACCATCAATCAAAAGCAAATTACCTGATACACAATCAACAACGACAAGAGCTCCATCTGTTACACGAAGGGCTGCAGTGACTTCTGAGGAAAAATCGACGTGCCCTGGTGAATCTATGAGGTTTATGAGAAACCCTTTTTCTTCTTTTCCTTCTGAGTTAATAGAAATTGGCTGAATTGCTTTAACGCTCTGGACGTCTTCATCAGACATTTCATAATATAAGCTGATAGCTGTTGATTTGATAGTGATGCACCTTTCTTGTTCGTCTTTCCGTGTGTCTGTAAACCGAGCATCTCCAGCACGTGAATCAGCAATAATGCCGGCCTTGCAGACAAGCGAATCTGTAAGTGTGGACTTCCCATGATCTACGTGTGCTATAACGGACATATTGCGAATATTCCGTTTATAATCCATCATCCGACGCAACTCATCAACTGTGAATTTCACCTAGGACAGGAAATTCAAAAAACATTGTTTCCTTCAAGGTACTCACGAGCAACTCGCCAGGAAATAAATGTAAACAAACTAGGAAGCACATGAAGAGGTGAAGTAGAGGATGACGTTATGGATGAGTCGACAATTCGTTGATGACTAGATATGCAACGACCAATACACTTAGTCTTCAAGTTCAAAAAACAGAATCTAGCACGCCAAGGTGACAGCCACGAATAATTATGGTTAAAATAAGATTGTACTTTTTAGCTCAAGTATTGTAGCGCACGTGAATTTTGGACCCCTCATTAGATTTCTCTATGGCATATAAACTAGACAAATACCGACCAAACTTTTAAAATAGCGTGTGGATACACGCTTAAGGCGATGGGTTAGCGGTTTAAATGATTGTGGATGGGATACAAGCTTCCCCTTAATGCACTCGTATCTAGAAGAGGGGGATTACAGATACCTTCAGGTATAAACGTAGGTATATTTAGCAGATTATCGAGATACTAGTAAACTTTAGTTCGAACTATCCTGCGGTACCAATAGTACGTCAAGTTTTCATTTTAAAGACTTCTGGGTAGCTACTTAGGACACTTCAGTTGGCAAAGAATTCCAGGATCTGACTACTAGTTAAAAGTAGTTGGAGATTCAGAAACTGCCACAACATGAGTCAGTTTCGTCTCAAGTCATCTTATTACAATCTAGCAGACTTAATTACAACTCCTTAGTAAATTATAACTTATAAATGGTCTCATTAAAAACCCTGTACCTATCATACAAATAATTTTAGTTGTTCGGTAAATGAAATGTTTGCCAGGTGGGCTACCTACAACACAATTTGTACTGCTCGAGTCATCAACAGAGCTCCTAGCTAGAGTTTCCGGACAATGTCCAGTATCTTTGCATAAATAGCGTTGCTCTATTGTTTTCCCCAAGTTTATGTCCCCAGAGACGGCTGAAGAAAATGAGAGCAAGCTAACTACCTATCTTAAATGAGTATGGGCAGAGGGAATGGTACTACTGTCCACAACCTGCAAAAATATCAATTGCAATACGCAACGGCAACCGACAACCATACAACTACTAGTCTCACTATCCGTCTATTGAAGCATGTTATAAAAATAACGCAAACGTTCGCTCTAAGTTAATTTCATCGTCAAGGTGGAAAGAAACTACACAATACAATACCTACCATTTCGCTGACGTCCGCTAAGGGCAACACCACCTGAACCCTGTGAAGTGCCACCGGATAAACTATTAGTAAAACACAGTCCAATATCCAATATGTCGTATGTCATTAAGACGAGCAACTATAAACCAGTTTGTTTTTTTGAGCCCCCATTTTAATTTTATGCCCGAAATATTTTTTAAAGGAACAAACACATAGCCATCGATTGTTTTATTTCGTGATTGGATGGCTGAGTTATACCAAGACATAAGGGTCCCGAACTGCGTTACTTTGACCCCTTGTTTAATCATCTTGTTGATCACAGAGGTCAAAATGCCAAACGACAGTCTAGAAGGACTGCCTCCTGTGAGATCATGGCTGAACTACGTGGCACATAAGTTTGGATCTCGCCTAATAGTTCAGTCTGCGACGAGTTCTTTCATGTTTGATCCATAAATAAGGTCACCTGAGTAAAGTAATATTTTAAAGTGTGCTCTTGTGACCATTTTTCATCTCTTGCTATTCGATCTCTAGCTCACATGGTCAACTTTCATGTGGTGCATCGATTGGACACAACAACCTCTTTGTTCTATAACTCATTCTTTTTTTCCCCTCTATTATCGTTCATATACCTAGATTCTTGCCTGGAGGTATTGGTGATCCACTGCTACCAGACACGGAATCCCGTTAAGCGAAAGCTTCTTCTATTCCGTCCTCAACCATTTGAACCATTTGAACTCTACTTATTTCAGGCAGTTGTCGTCGGCGTTTCGGTACAACACAAAAGCCGTGGCCCACAACGTCAATACTTCTACTTCTTATGTATCAGAAGGAATAAAATATATTGACCACTCTCAAATGTCACTGGTCGGAAGGAAGTGTTGTGAAGGTTTCACCCAACTTGTCTGGATGGTATGCTCTGCTGATTTAAATTTATATCACTAAGCATCTTGAAACTCACTATGACGAAAAGATAACCTCTAATTGTTCTGTCGAGAACATGAATAGCCCCTGATATTGGTCTAGTTTAATTCGTTGGGGATTTGTGTTCACATTCTCCTTCCGTAATATCTAGTACTACTACGCGCTCATGTGATTCATCTGGCCTTTGAACAGACTTTGATAACTCGGACTTCTTGCGCTGTATATCTATGGTAAACTGTGAAATGTGGTTTCATTATTGAAACTCTTTTAGGGCGTATTGTACAAAGACAAGATTAAAGAGAAGGTGAAAAGTTTATTTTCGGTAAAATGATTGAATTTTCGGCCTTCCACGTAGTGTTGAAAGTATCGTACAGCACAATGCACATCTGGAAGTTCCCTGAAGAAAGTGCTATATTTCGATTCAGTGTCCTGCGTCCATCTCTAGCAGAATCTCAAAGATTCCCAGAAGTTGTTTTCTCATTGTTGTAGGACTCCTCCGATTGACGAGTCAGATGCGTCTACGGAGATACTAACGGGTGCTTTGATGTCCTGGTATGCGGATAACATTTCTTTTGCGATAACTTCCCTAACTGTGGAGGATGCTGTTTTCACGTTGTCGTCCAAATCAATAACTTTTGCATTTCGACTAAGTCGGTCTGTTAAGGGTCGCGCGAGAGATGTGCAATTTGGTATAAGCCATCGATTAGTATTTAACAGGCCGTTGAACGTATATAATTGCCAGACTGTAGTTGGTACTGGGTAATCCAGAATGGCCGCCACTTTGCTCTACAGAGATCGGATTTCTTGAACATCAATACAGTGTCCGAGAAAATCTAGGGAGTCTGTTCCGATTTGATATTTCTGAATATTTACAATAATGCTGTGTTTTTGAAGTCGTTCGAAAACAAGGTCCAGATGCTGAAGATGAAATTTACTGTCCGGACTTGCGATCAAGCCGTCATCTATATATGCATGTACGACGTCGATACCTCGAAAGACGTCATTAATCAATCTCTGGAAAGCTTTTGCAGCATTTCTCAAACCGAAGGGTATGAGAAAAATTTTTAAAGTTCGAAGGAGGTTATGGTATCGGCTTTAGGGATGTCTTCAGCAGCCATGGAAACCTGGTAGTATTTTATAACCAGATTGACTTCTGGAAAAAACGGTTGTGCTTTTTAAGGTAGTTGTCAAATAGTTGATGCTCGGCAGAGGTAACGATCGGAAATGATTCATGTATTTAGTCTCCCTTAATCACCGGCTGGACATTAGTCGTTGTTGCCACTCTCAGGGACCATGTCCATGGAAGATGCTGATGGTCTGTTCAATGCCCGAATAATTTCCAGCTCTATCATGGGCTCGAACTCGGTTTTGGACAAAAGAAGCTTTTCGAAAGCTAGTCAGTGCGCTTTCGAAAATACAGGTGGTCTCGTAGTCTTGATGTTGTGTGTATTGTTACCGGTTACACACACTATTTGTGGCCGTGTTTCGTACGATTTGAGACATTTGTCGACAATTCGTTAAAAAGAAGGATCGATTATATGCTTGATCGGAAATGGGCATAACCAACAACCAGAAGATAAAGTTCAAGAACAGATAATTTGGCATTTTCACCTACTAACTTGTGTTTGCTTGGATTGATGAGTAGATTATGTTGTAGTAGGTCTATACCAATGATTGGCATAGAAGCATCTGCAACAACGATTATCTTGTGAGTGGATTTTCATAAACGCGTATTTAGATAATCATATCTCTTACCGTGATCGGTTCTCAATTTGCAAAACAGTGGTTCCCTTTGATAAATTTGAACAGAGAAATGAGAAGACAAATTTTGTGAGATAGTACCATTTCGTGCTTTCTCGTCAGTCACATACAAGCAACATGTTATTCGTGTAAATACAGTTTTGAAGATAAGGTCAAAATTTCTTATTTAGCATGACATTCACTTACTAGAACCATGGTAAACAAAGGTTAACGTACAGTTGTTTTTGAACACATAAAGTTGGACTTTTCCGACCAATCAAGATAGCTTCGAGTAGTTTGAATGTGTGTGGGTTTTGATGACATGTCACAACTCTAAAGGCTGATTTTGGGTCAATTTGATGACCACTCATCATTAGATGTTTTGCAATGGACGAGGCTGGGTTTCTTGATCGATCTTGAGATGACGGGCTAGGTGGATGAATCATGGATTTGATTAACCATCTTGGAATATGTTCCCCTATCCTGTCCTCCAATCGGCGATCTGTCCTACCTAAGTAACTTTCTCCGCAGTTACATGTGAATTGGTAAATACAGTGGGATTTGGACTGAATCGGTCTTGGAGACTTGATAGGGTTAACTGAGATCGACTGAGTTGTTGTGATAAGCCTCAGATTAGCTGCATTGAAGGTCTGTTTTATTGCAGCTGCAGTCTGTTTGGTTGTAATTTTCATGCAGTGATCACCCTTGAAAGGTAACTGTAGGTATACTGGTTTCTTGGGCACATCCGTTGCTATCAGTTTCGTCGTATTTGTGTTCTGATGACCAATAAACGTTTCAGGATATCCGTTTAATTTAAGTGTCTCAGTAATAAACTTAAATTCGTCGTCCAATGTATCTACAGTGCAGATTCTACTTGCCCGAGCGAATAAAGTTTTGATAATAGTACGTTTATATTGTATGGGGCAGAAACTAGTGAAGTGGAGGTACTGTCCCGACCAGGTGGGTTTGCGATGTACTCTGCGTCTGATCGATCCGTCTGGACGGCGATGGAGCAGGATGTCGAGGAAAGCTAGTTCATTATTGTTTTCTTCCTCATAAGTGACTTTCAGATTCGGGTGAATTGCATTAAATAAATCATTGACTTGATTAATATCTGTAGACTGTGGTAATATGACAAGAATATCATCGACATATCGTTTGTAAAGTGTAATACCATCAATTAATTGACTCACTTGCCTTTCTATCATTCCCATGAATATGTTTGCTAAAACAGGTCCGAGAGGGCTTCCCATAGCCACTCCATCGATTTGCATATATGCTTTACCTTGGAAACAGAATTTTATATTCTTTGTGCACAGTAAAATTAGATCTCGAAGATAGGTAGTAGGAATGGGTATTCATTTGTTGTGTGAAGTTATGAAATCACAAATAAATTCCACAGTTTCTTCGAGAGGTACATTTGTGAACAAAGAGTTTACATCGAAAGAACACATCCGACTATTAGAAATATTCAAGTGTTCCAAGGTTGGGAGAAGTTCAAAAGAATCAATGACAGTATGTGTCGACAGTTGTTTGCAAACAGGATCCAAAATTCCTTTCAACCATTTTGCTAGCTTATGGTATGGTGAATTTATCATGGACAAAATTGGTCTCATAGGTGTTCCAGGCTTATGCAGTTTCGGTAAGCCATACATTTCTGGTGTGCATGTACCAATGGGCTTGAGCATTTTATAATGGGCCTCGGTGATAAAACCGTGAAGCATGAGTAGATGTAGTTCTCGGCATATTTGTTTTTCGACCAACTTCACGTTATCGATCTGTGAATCTGATTTGAATTTAGCAGAGTCTGAGAGGATCACGTTCATTTTGGTTATGTAGTCCTCCTTATTCATGACTACAACACCGGAACCTTTGTCTGGTTTGGAGATTGTTATTGTGGAATTGTTCTTAAGTTCCTTCAATGCTTCCCTGTGCTCATTCGTTAGACAAGATTTTTGGTTGATTGGAGTGTTTGCAAATTGCTGGGATATATCAACTAATTTGGCTTTGAACCATGCCTCATTCTCAGCTGATGTTGGAGTCAAATTTGAGAACTGGCTGTAGAGGTTTTCGAAATTGGCGTCCACCAAATTCTTGTCGATTCTTTTCGGTGGTACTTTGTAGTTTAGTCCCATTGAAAGAGCTTCTAGGTGAACCTTGTCAAGATTGAAGTTAGATAAGTTATGAACACGTTCTGTGAAATTTTCTGGAAATTCTGAAATCGTTCGGGTCTTTGATAGCGACAGGTTGAGTTTCGTCCATGTTCGGTTCGCCGTTCTCTCTAATATACCTTTGTAGAAGTTTATTAGTTTGATATGGCAAATGATGGATAGTTGTTCAATAAGTGGTATGAAATGTGTGCAAGTTTCTTTGTATTGGTTTATTTTGTCAATACACGAATCAA